AGGGAAAAGTACAAGAGGGAGGGAGGACACAATAGAGGGGGAATGAGGTCACAGAAGGGGGGGATGAAGGGCAAAGTACAGGGGAAAGGAGGGCACAGTACAGGGAGGAGGAAGGCACAGTACAGGGGGGATGGGGTCCACAATACAGGGTAAAGGAGAGTACAGTACAGGGGGGGGAGGCACAGTATAGGGGATTGGAGGGCATATCAACGAAGCAGAAGGGCACATTACAGGGGAGCAGGAAGGCACAGTACACAGTACAGGGGAAAGGAGGGGACAGTACGGGGGACAGAAGAGTACAGTATGGGTGGAGGGGCAGGAAGGCACAGTATGGGGGGAGAGGCACAGTACAGGGAGAAAGAGAACACACTACAAGGGGGTAAGTGGACAGAGTTCAGGACAGCTTAGTAAAAAGCAAGACTGTCCTTGTAAATCCATCCCTTGGTTCCACCCTCTACCCACCTCCCAGTACCACCCTCTTTAGGGAATACAGACACAAATAAACTTTTATGGTGCTAAGTAATCTGTATAATTTGTCAATGATAAGAAAGGCAGTACATTAGATTACCTGCAGCCTGGAACAATAACCCCCTCTAGCAACAATAGATCTCTGCCAGCAACAACAGATATCCAAGCAGCCAGCATCAATATACCCCTCCCTCAACAGAAGATCCATCCCAGCAACAATTGACTCCCCAGCAACAACAGATCCCCCACCAGCAACAATAGATCCCCCATCAGCCACCCTCAATAGACCCTCCAGCACACCCTAGCACCGTTTTCCATTACATACATTCAGTGCTGGAGGTACTGCATTCCCTTGCATCCCTACTGAACAAAAGCCCTGATTATGGTTATTAAAAGATGGGCAAAAAAAATATGTGGTTATTTCCTATAATCATTAGCTCCCTCTAGTGGCCATATTACAGTATTTTTTTTATTTACGCTATTTTTATGAAAGAAGAACATCCAACCTGGAGAGAACATAGCTCAGTAACATTCAATTTTGTCAGTATTCACACAAATCAAATACGCATGCAATTTTCAGGATGAACAACTTTCTAATACATACATACATACATTAAAGTCTAATGTTGTCTCAGTCAGGGCTCCTGAAGGCATTCTCAAGCTTTTTACTATTTCTAAAATGAGCTTTAAATGATGAATCATACTTATATCCCACATCAATATTTGTATATAAAGTAATGGATATTCCTTAAAAAAAAAATCAGGAAATACTAAGATTGCAAGGATGACGGTTTGTTCATCGTACAGGAAATGTAAAAGAAGAAAAAGGCAATATCATATTTGTGTCTGCACAGTACAGTGTGTCACAGCAGGGTTCACTAAGCATGGAAGCCTGGAGCCATATCTGCGGTGTCTACCTGCTGCGAGGCAGCACAATGTACCAAATGGGAATAAGGCAGACTGCTCACAATGTCTTTATAGAGATCGGCAATATTCCAAATGTTAAAGTGCAGCAGCTGTATGGGAAGGATTGTTAAATAAAGTTTACTAGTGGGATGTAGGTTTTAATTTTTTCATTGACGCCTTCGTAATATCATTGATAGGTAGATCTATAATCTACAAAAGTGCAGCGCTAAAAAGAGTACAAAAATATATCAAATCAAGTGGAACAGGCAAGTGCACCATATAAGTGCACTGAAAGTGCAGGTAAAATGAAAGATAAAAAGGTCTGTAGAAATAGTCAGTAGACAGTCTTTGAGTTATTCTTTTAAACTGTGATTGTGATAATAATGTCTGTAATCACAAGTGATAATTATCAAATAAGTGAGGCAGGATATAAACAGCGCCATTTATAAATTGGCCAATATATTGTGTTTTTGTGCATTAAAGTAAAAAAAGTGTATTTTTTTAACTTCCCTAGCGGTCTGATTAGGTCTATATTTCTGTGCTCAAAGCGGTACATTTCTTTTGCATGGAAATATATTTTTTTTTTTATTGTAGGCCTGTAATTTTTAGAAATAAAACCACATAAGAACTCACTGAAATCTGTCTGAACAAGAGTCTAGTAAACATCCCGGGTATGTTACTGCAAAATATGAAACACGAAATCATAAATTATAATTTTATAAATAATCATAAAAAATAATAATATAATAATAATAATAATAAATGTAATTAAATAATATAATCAAACCAAAAACACTGAAATTTTAAATATAGCGCCAAGTTTGCACATCACTGAGCTTAGTCGCAAAATCATTTTCAGTGTCTGATGACAAATTTTCCCCACAAATCATTATCACTCAATTCTGCAAGTAGTTCTAATTTACTATCCCTGTTCTCTAGCTGGTCTAAAACCGATTTTGACCTAAAGGGACGCTTTTTGGACGCCATGGACGTTTCTCAGTTTCCAGGCAGAAAGAACAGTAAAAATACAGGCAGGGCACAGGACAAAGTACTCGGGACAAAATGTATGTGAAATGGTTTGATACAGTAATGTAATACTAACAGATTACAATGTATTGTGTCTATGTAATTTTAGTGAATTTAGTGAATGTCACTTTTGCAACTTTCAAATTTCCCGCCAGTTCCATCCCCTGTACGTCCTGACGTCGCAGGGAACGGAACCCAGAAGACAGATGCCGGCATCGGCCGAAGGACATTGCCCGGGACACTGCAGGAGGGACATCGCGGTAGCGCAGGACAAGGAAAGTGAAGAACAGATCCCGGAGCAACGCTGCATGGTATTCCCGAGTGTAGCTCGGGGTTACCGCTTGTGGTGCTGAAACTTTATACCCCAAGCTACACTCGGGAATACCTCCAGGGAGGTTAAATTTGCTTTTGAAAAATTGCTGTGTGAGTTCTATGTGACATAAAAAATTGTAGCACCCACCATTTTATTCACTAGGGTGTCTGCTTTAAAAAAATATATAATGTTTGGGGGTTTAAGTTAATTTCCTAGCAAAAAAGTCTGATTTTTTTTCATGTGAACAAAAAGTGTCAGAAAAGGCTTGATCTTCAGGTGATTAGAAGAGTGAATGATGTATGGCATAAACTTCTAATGCTGGGCATAAAACGCCCCCACCCCCCAAAACGACCCCTTTTTGAAAAGTAGACACCCCAAACTATTTGCTGAGAGGCATGTTGAATCAATAGAAGAATTTATTTGTTTACCACGTTTTTGGAAAATGACAAAAAAAAAACATTTTTTTTTTTTACACAAAATTGTCATTTAAATGATTTACTGCTCACACAAGCCATGGGTATATGTGGAATGAAATATATTCTGCTACTTCTCCCGAGTATGGGGGTACCACATGTGGAGACGTTTTGGCAGTCTAGCCAAGTATAGGACCCCAAAATCCAATATTCACCTTCAGGCTTTTAAAGGGCTTTATTTCCTCACTTCCACTTCCTGACTACCTATCACAGTTTCGGAGGCCCTGAAATGCCAGGATAGCACCAAACCCCCCCCCCAAATGACCCCTTTTTGGAAAGTAGACACTCCAAGGAATTTGATAAGAAGCATGGTGAGTATTTTGCAGATCTCGTTTGTTGCCACAAGTTTTTGGAAAATAAAGAAAAAAAAACAAAAACATTTTTTTCTTTTCTTTTTTTATATTTCAAAACCTTGTGAGAAAAATGAGATCTGCAAAATACTCACCATGCTTCTTTTTAAATTCCATGGGGTGCCTACTTTCCAAAAGTAGATCATTTGGGGGGTTTGGTGCTATCCTGGCATTTCAGGGCCTCCAAAACTGTGATAGGTAGTGAGGAAGTGTAATGAGGAAGTTACGCACCTTCAGGCTTTCAAAGTGGTCATTGGATTTCAGGCTCCTGTTTGTGGCTAGGCTTCCAAAAAGTGTCACACATGTAGTATCCCCATACTCATTAGAAGTAGCAGAATGTATTTTGGGGTGTAATTCCACATATACCCATGGCTTGTGCGAGAAATAAATCATTTAAATGACAACTTTGTGTAAAAAAAAAAACAAAAAAAAATGTTTTTCTCATATTCTCGAAACTTGTGGAAAAAAAAAAATCTTCCATGGACTCAATATGCCTCTCAGCAGATAGCTTAGGGCGTCTACTTTCTGAAAAGGGGTCATATGGGGGTGTTTGCACTGTCCTGGCATTTTAGCACCTCAAGAAATGTGATAAGCAGTCAGAAAGTAAAAGCTATGTGAATTCCATTATCTATACCATAGTTTGTAGACGCTATAACGTTCACACAAAGCAATCAATATACACTTATTGGGATTTTTTTAACCAAAAACATGTAGCAGAATACATTTTGGCCTAAATTTATGACAAAATTTTTGTTTTTGGGATATTTTTTATGACCGAAATGATATAAAAAAATCGTTTTTTTAAAAAATAGTTTTTTCTTCATAATTTTTTTGTTTATAGCGCCAAAAATAAGAGCGCACAGGTGATCAAATACCACCAAAAGAAAGCTCTATTTGTGTGAAAAAGGACATAAATTGCTTTTATGTTTCTTATTGCATGACCGCGTAATTGGCCATTAAACTAGCGCAGCACTGTATAGCAAAAAAATGGCGTAAATTGCAGTATCTATACCATAGTTTGTAGATGCTATAACTTTCACACAAAGCAATCAATATACACTTATTGGGATTTTTTTTTTTACAAAAACATGTAGCAGAATACATTTTGGCCTAAATTTATAACTAACTTTGAGTTTACTATAAATTTTTTATAGCCGAAAGTCAAAAATATCGTTTTTCTTCAAAATTTTTGGTCTTTTTTTGTTTATAGTCTGAAAAATAAAAAGCACACACAGGTGATCAAATACCACCGAAAGGAAAGCTCTATTTGTGTGAAAAAATTTCGCTTTGGTGCAGCATTGCATGACCGCACAATTATCAGTTGAATTAGTGAAGCGCTGAGTAGCAAAAAGAGGCCTGGTCATTAAGGGGGGTAAATCCTCTAGAGCAGGGGTCCTCAAAAACTATTTAAACAGGGGGCCAGTTCACTGTCCCTCAGACCGTTGGAGGGCTGGACTATAGTTTAAAAAAAAAAAAACTATGAACAAATGCGGACACAGTACAGGAGATGACCAGTGACTGTGGACATAGTACAGGAGATGACCAGAGACTGCAGACGTACTACAGGAGATGACCAGAGACTGCGGATGTACTACAGGAGATGACCAGAGACTGCGGACATAGTACAGGAGATGACCAGAGACTGCGGACATAGTACAGGAGATGACCAGAGACTGCGGACATAGTACAGGAGATGACCAGAGACTGTGGACATAGTACAGGAGATGACCAGAGATGCGGACATAGTACAGGAGATGACCAGAGACTGCGGACATAGTACAGGAGATGACCAGAGACTGCAGACATAGTACAGGAGATGACCAGAGACTGCGGACATAGTAGAGGAGATGACCAGAGACTGCGGACACAGTACAGGGGATGACCAGAGACTGCAGACACAGTACAGGAGATGACCAGAGACTGCAGACATAGTACAGGAGATGACCAGAGACTGCGGACACAGTACAGGAGATGACCAGAGACTGCGGACACAGTACAGGAGATGACCAGAGACTGCGGACACGGTACAGGAGACGACCAGAGACTGCGGACATAGTACAGGAGATGACCAGAGACTGCAGACACAGTACAGGGGATGACCAGAGACTGCAGACATACAACGGCGGCGAGAATACTGGGCCGGCCGCTCCATAAGGCGCACAGACATCTCCCCACAAGTGTGTCTTATGGAGCAAAATAGTGCCCCATCATTGGTGTCATTGGGAAGAAACGTGCTCCATCATTGGTGTCAGTGGGAGGAATAGTGCCCCATCATTGGTGTCAGTGGGAGGAATAGTGTTCCATCATTGGTGTCAGTGGGAGGAATAGTGCCCCATCATTAATGTCAGTGGGGGGAGGAATAGTGACCCATTGTTGGTGTCAGTGGGGGGAGGAATAGTGCCCCATCATTGGTGTCAGTGTGGGGGGGGGGGTAATAGTGCCCCCAAAAGTCATTGGTGTCAGTGGGGAAGGGGATAGTGTCCCAACATTTGTGTCAGTGGGAGGAATAGTGTCCCATCATTGGTGTCAGTGGGAGGAATAGTGTGCCATCATTGGTGTCAGTGGGAAGAATAATGCCCCATCTTTGGTGTCAGTGGGAGGAATAGTACGTCACTGGTGTCAGTGGGGGGAATAGTGCCCTGTCATTGGTGTCAGTGGGGGGGATAGTGTCCCAACATTGGTGTCAGTAGGAGGAATAGTACGCCATCATTGGTGTCAGTGGGGGAAAAGGAATAGTGTTCCACCGTTGGTGTCAGTGGGGGGTGAAATAGTGCCCCATCGTTGGTGTCAGTGGGGGGAGGAATAGTGCCCCATCGTTGGTGTCAGTGTGAGGAATAATGCCCCATCATTAGTATCAGTGACACCAATGATGGGGCACTATTCCTCCCACTGACACCAATGACACTTAACTTGCTGACCCCTGTTCCAGCATGGTACTGCTGCAGCCAGTGGATTTTACAAAAGTGTTTGACACAGTTCCCTACACACGGCGGTCTATTTAATGTGTAAGGTAAAGTCTACAGGCTTGGAAAAATCTGTATGTAAATGGATAGAAAACTGCCTAAAAGATGGTATTCAGAGAGTACTCTGAATGGTCTAGGGTTGTCAGTGGTGTACCCCAAGGTTCAGTGTTGGGACCCTTATTTTGTAATATATTTATAAACAATATAGGGTCTGGGATTATAAATCCCATTTCAGTCTTTGCAGATGACACCAAGCTGTGCAGTGGAATAACGTCCTTACAGGGTGTCTTACAAGCCAACCTAAATGCACTGTGTAATTGGGCAACTATGTGGCAAATGAGGTTTAATGTTGATAAATGTAAGGTTCTGCACTTGGGGGCTAAGAATATGCATGCATCATACATACTAGGGGGGGTACAACTGGGGGAATCAATGGTGGAGAAGGATCTGGGGGTTCTGGTAAATTACAAGCTTAATAATGGCATGCAATGCCAAGCTGCGGGTTCTAAAGCGAGCAAAATCCTCTCTTGTATTAAAAGAGGTATAGACTCCAGAGAGAGAGATCATTTCCCCCGGTACAAATCATTAGTAAAACCTCATCTAGAATATGCAGTTCAATTTTGGGCACCAATTCAAAATAAGAACATTGGGGAAGTGGAGAAAGTACAGAGAAGGGCAATCAAACTGATAAGAGGCATGGAGGAGATCAGCTATGAGGAAAGATTAGAGGAACTGAATGTATTCTCTCTTGAGAAGAGGAGATTAAGTGGGGATAAGATCTCCTGTATAATACATGTATATGATCTCCATGTATAATACATAAGGGGATATGATCTCCATGTATAATACATAAGGGGGGATATGATCTCCATGTATAATACATAAGGGGGGATATGATCACCGTGTATAATACATAAGGGGGGGATATGATCAACATGTATAATACATAAGGGGGGGATATGATCTCCATGTATAATACATAAGGGGGGATATGATCTCCATGTATAATACATAAGGGGGGATATGATCTCCATGTATAATACATAAGGGGGTATATGATCTCCATCTATAATACATAAGGGTGGATATGATCTCCATGTATAATATCACATACAAGGGGGGGATATGATCTCCATGTATAATACATAAGGGGGGATATGATCTCCATGTATAATACATAAGGGGGGATATGATCTCCATGTATAATACATAAGGGGGAATATGATCACCATGTATAATACATAAGGGGGGATATGATCTCCATGTATAATACATAAGGGGGGGATATGATCTCCATGTATAATACACAAGGGGGATATGATCTCCATGTATAATACATAAGGGGGGATATGATCACCATGTATAATACATAAGGGGGGATATGATCAACATGTATAAATACATCAGTGGTTCATATAGTGAACTCGGTGTAGAGTTATTCCCCCTGAGGTCATCACAGAGGACAAGGGGGCACTCTTTACATCTGGAGGAAAAGAAAATGTAATCTCCAAACATGGAAAGGTTTTTTCACAGTGAGAGCTGTGAGAATGTGGAATAGACTCCCTCAAAAGTTGGTTCTGGCCAGCTCAGTGGATTGCTTTTAAAAAAGTCTTGGATTCTTTCTTAGATACACAGAATATAACTGGAAACTAACATTTATAGGTAAAGTTGATTCAGGGAATATCCGATTGCCTCTCAGGGGATCAAGAAGGAATTTTTTCCCTGCAGGAGCAAATTGGATCATGCTTTGCTGGGTTTTTTTGCTTTCCTCTGGATCAACTGTGGGTGTAGGATTATAACTTTTTTTTTTAATGGTTGAACTGGATGGACTTTTGTCTTTTTCAGCCAGACTAACTATGTAACTATGGACAACAGCAGAATGTGGCCAGGTATTTGGTTGTTATGAAGCTGTGGGCTGCACATCCAGAAATTTTTTAGTTTTAGCACTAATGCTTCTGTGTAGCTGAAGGGGGAAATCTTCACTGAAGATGAAGGTGTCCAGTATAGACACTTAAGCCTCAGTGCTGCCCCCGTCTTGCCTCAATGCAACAAATTCAAGTATTTTTTTTGCATAGGTGCATGAATTTGTCGTAGGCAGTCGTTTGAGGCACGACAGAATTCTAAAGAAAGTCTACAATGCTCTTTTATGAATTCAAACAATAGTTTTTATAATGTTTTAGCCATCCATGAAAATTCAGTAAATTAAGAGATGATCTCCAGGCACAACTATCCCCCTCCCCTCGTAATTGCCATGTTCATTAAAAAGATCCAAACCATAAAGCGTATTCTCTTTTCTGGGCTGCAGACCTGTAGGGTCCTTCTTCAGGTGCTCATGTCACTGCTTGGATGACATGAACAGCACCTATTGGCTGTCCATCAACCAGGTTCCAGAAGACTGCAGTGGCTTGATGAGGTCATGACAAGGGAATTGATCAGATTCAGGCACAGATTGCACCTTTGCTCACTGGTCTCCACCATCATAAAAGGAATTGGCAAGGTATATGTGATTGTGGACTTAGGTGAGTAAAGAAGGATTTGTAATGACTTTTTTTTTAAATTGTTGAATTGGTTAAGGAGGGTTGAAAGGGAACTTTGGGAGGGGGGTCTCACTCTGCCCGGCGATAGGTTCTAATTTTAAAATACTGTTCCTGTCAACCTGTATGACTACCAAAATATCAGCAATTAAAACTGAGAGGATGATGCAAAAATGCATAATAACTGCATTCAGTAAAGATAACATGTCAAAACAATTAATACATTCCGAAGAATATACTGCTCAAATTCTAGGCAAATTATGACTTTTCTGTAAAAGTGAACAAGCACCTGCTCTCTCCATCCATCCCAAATTGCTTCACTGGCATTTTATTTGGATGGCCCCACTGTCCAAAAAGAAAACAAAGGAAGTGGAAGTGGCTGGGACAAGTTTTCCCTTTTCAGGAAAGTCATTATTTCAATATAAATTCAATTGCCGCTGGATCTACTCATCACTTTAACAAGTGTTTTTGTTATTAAAGGCAACTTCAATGCATAACGGGCGTTGGAGTGTTTGACCCATATCTTTCCCTATTGATTGTCCATATGCATATTATCTGCTAAACTAAATGATGACTTTACCGGCTCGGCTCCTACACAAGAATATGATCCACTTTGCCACACTTGTCTGTCCTTCCATTGTGTCTTCTCCTTCCCCCAAATTCTTATTTTGGGGAGGGAGAGGGGAGGGGGATGAGGGAGAAAGTGCAGGAATAATTAATCAATTTATTATTATTATTGTTTTTTTTTCCCTTCGCGCCCCCCCCCCCCTTTCCAATTACACCACTTCACTTCACATTCCTTTCTCTACCTGATCTATTTTCTCAGGCTTATCTTTATTCTACCTTTAGTAAATACTCACATCATCCACATTTCCTCAGCAGAATACAGCAGTTACTTTCTTACAGATGCAAATACTTCTAGGAAACACACATTCTCTATTCCGGATACACAATATTGAACACACAACCTTCTCAAAGCTATCCTTATCCGACACTTCATACCCCCTCATCTTATAAGCTCATTATTACATGGGTCAGTTCCCTTTACTATTTACATTACCTCGTCTAGTAAATTTGTCATATCTGCAGATATGTAATATACATCTGTCTTACTGCATTGTTACGATATGATTGCATTGTAATCTATATGTCTGACCCGTCTGCGATACGGGGGACACCGCTTATTGTCTCTATTCTTGGACTGCGATCCGTAGTTGTATTTGCTTTGCTATGCCTTATTCTTAATAAAAAAAATTTTGGGGGAAAAAAAAAAAGGCAACTTAAAATTTTTAATGTGCTCAATTTGAAATTCCCAGATCTATTATACGTTTTCTTTAATTAATGAGTATGCATTAGATCAATGGTCTCCGAACCGTGGTTCGCGGGCCAGATGAGGCCCCATGCTTGCCTTTATCCAGCCCACAAGGCACTCTTCTGCTCTGTGATATGAAACACTATTCATCCCACTAACACCAATGATGAGGCACCATTCCTTCCACTGACACCAACAGTGGGGCACTATTTTCTCCCACTAATACCAATAAT